TAGCATGTAGAGGTGTTACACACAGCCTGGCATGGTTCCCGTGAGGCTGACGTGAGATCATGTTACATGAAGTTCTTGGAACATGGTGCTGAGTATCTCTTAGCTGCCTCGTACTAGCACAAAGCAGAATGAACTAAATAATAAGCTCCTTACAAAGCTGAGAGCTGTCCTGCCTTTGCTTGCTGCCTCTTAAATCCTAGCACTAATTTCTCTGTAAGCAGCTAGCTGCTCACTGTGTTACTGACCTGGAGGGTCCGGAATCGGTTTTCAAACTGTGGCACCACCAACTTGCAGAAGAATTTGAAGAGCCTTTCCGGAGGTACTTCAAACTACTTCATAACCGTTGTATTGATAGTAATTCTCATTTTAGTTAATAGCTATAAGGCTAATTAATTTCCATTAATTCTTCCCTTTAATGTTTTCATGTAAAGAAAAAAGCTCTAGTGTCACCCAAGAATATCCCTGGGTAAAGCAACACTTTTATTAAATGTAGACCCCTAAGTACCTCTCCTTTTGATATTCTGAATAATGAAATAAGGACTGTATACAAAGCATTTCTATTGCATCCTGGGACATGGTAGTTGTCTTGAGAGCAGACACAACATTAACTGAGTCCTGAGCTAGGCCAGCCATGTTTTTTTCATGGAACACCATTTGCACTTGAACAGAAGGAATGACACACTATAGCATCCAGATTTTTAACGTTAAGACATCACTTCAGGGAAAACAGTGGACATTGTCTATTATCAGTGATAAAATTCTTAACTTTCTAGCAGATATAACACTTGTGGAAAACTCATATCTATCTCAGTGAGCTAATAGTGTCCTAATACTAAAAGACTTTAATAATGAGGACTGATATTAGTAATTTTTAAGAAAGGATCTCACATTGCAGCCCAGGTGACCCTTAATTGACTATGTAGGTCAAGCTAGCCTCAAAATTGCAGCAATCTGCCTACCTTAGCCTCCTGTGTTCTTAGAGTCACCATCTGAGAAATAAATATTATTCTTTTGATTCTGTATGAAATTACATGTGACAATATTTGAATGATTTGCATAAGTCAGTGAACTTTTTTCGAAACAACCAAAGCATGTGATTATGGAATAAGTCATATACTGGTTAAAGATCCATTCACCAGCGTCATCTGAGATGTCTCAGATTCCACATTGCAACTAACTTTAAGGAGCTACCTACCTCATCAAATGAAAGTGTCCATAAAATTCCAAAAAAGGTTAATAAAATATTCCTCCTTTCCCCCAAATATATCTTAATGAGAACAGATTTGAATTCATGTATTTTTATCAAAATAAGGCATCAACAGCTAGAGAGATGGCTCAGGATTAAGAGCTGGAACTGCCCTACCAGAGGACCTGAGTTCAAGTCTCAGTACACACATTAGGCGGCTTTCAACTGCCTGCAACTTCAGCTTTCAGAGGCTCCCATGCACACATGTACACATACACACACACAGAGACATAGAATTTGCTTTGTTTTGTTTGTTTGTTTTTTGAGACAGGGTATCTCTGTGTAGCCTTGGCTATCCTAGCATTCCTCCACAGACCAGGCTGGCCTCAAACTCAGAGATCTGCCTGCCTCTGCCTCTTGAGTTGCTGGGACTAAAATCGTGTGTCCCCATGTCTAGCTTCATTAACTTTTTTAAAATTTGGAGATATATGATTATTCATAAAGTACATCTTATAACATGTTTATTAAAAATAATATATATTTGGTATTTCGAGATAGGGTTTCTCTGTGTAGCCCTGGGTGTCCTGGAACTTGCTTTGTAGATCAGGTCTGCCTCTTTCTCTGGATTAAAGGTGTGCTCCATCACCACCCAGCTTAGAAATATTTTAAAGAAATAATCAAAATTCTTCGACCTTTTAATGTCTGATATGGCAACTATCACTATCTAAATCCATGCTAAATAATGGTTTTTAATATAGTCAATAATTTTTTAAGAGTGCAAAGTGATTCTGAGACCAAACAGGTTTTTTGTTTGTTTGTTGTTTTGTTTTTTTCCAAGACAAGGTTTTTCTGTGCAACAGAGCCCTGGCTGTCCTGGACTCGATTTGTAGACCAGACCGGGCTCGAACTCACACAGATCTGCCTGCCTCTCAAGAGCAGGGATCAAAGGTGTGTGCCACCATCACCTGGCTGAGGTCAAACAGTTTAAGAAGCATTCATTATTCTGACTAGTTCTCTATACCTAATCTGAGTTGTTTTTTTTTTTTTTTACACTCATAGTAACTACTCATGGCCAAACGTTAGTAAGAAGTGATTACTTCCATCTGGGTGCACACTTGCAATTTCAGCACTCCAGAGGTGGAGGCCAGAGGATCCCAACCGCAAAATTATCCCCAGTCACATCGTAACTTCACAGCGAGCGGGGGCTACGTGGGATCAACCCTTGTGTAGGTGATTTCCAAAGCAACAGCTCAATCTAACAGGTCAAGGCCAGCGAACTACTCTTTTCCAGGTGTTGGTCTGCATTAGGCCAACAGCTCCAGCTCCCTTTAGTTAGGAAATCCTGTTGCTCTGCATTTGCATCTCTGTACAGATTAGGGAGAGGTTTGACCTTTTGTGCTTCAGGCATGACAAAAGGAAGCTTCTTCTGCAGCGGTCCGTGGCTTAAATGGGACTGCTGCCGAGTGCCTCTTTCAGCTCTAAGATTTGATGTGACCACACTTCACCTGGGTCTGGGTGTCTTTTTCCCAAAGCCAGCCCCAGGGCTCGAGATCTTTAGGAACCTTGCCTAAGGTCTGACGGCGGATTGGCATACATGGTAATTGTCTAGGCTCCGTATTTAATAAAGAACGAAACCCACGAGGGACGTTTCGACTTCTGGGTGTCCTAAAATTTCCATTTCACCGGGATGAAAAGAGCCAAAGTATGACCTCACTAAAAAACTAGGCTGTCGTTGAAGAGGAAAAGGAAACAATAAAGATCGGTTCTGGCTTCCGACAGAACTGAAAATAAGAGGCGCACGGCATCACCAGCTCGGCCAGGGAGAGAACTGACCGGCAGTCAACCTGCAGGGTCGTCCTTCCTTCCTCATGGCAGGGAGAGGCCCCGAGGCCGGGTCCAACCCCTCTTCTTCATAAATCACCGCTTACCGTCCTCAAGATGGGTCATACGTTAAGAAAAAAATACTGATTTACTGGGAATCCTGGAGTCAGCCTGGCAGGATTCGAATCTCAGGCCTGAGTTTATTCCCATGTAAAGCAGCAAGAACGTCAACACTTTATAAAATCTTTGTGAGATTAAGATAATGCATATAAAACAAAACAAAACAAAAAGCTGGACCTGGAACAGGAAGTTATTATTTATTGAGTCTTTGTTTCTTATTCCCCATCTACGAGCAGGTTTCTCCCGTCATTTTTCCACAAAACCTTTTTCTCTCATATCCCTGAGTCATCAGCATTAAGATGCTGGGTTCCCCAAGTCATTCCGCGGCCTCGTGTTCTCTAGGGCTCCCTCTCCCGACTGCTTAAGCTCTTACAGGGGTCCAGATTGAAATTCCCGGGCTGCCAATGGATCTCGGCTTGACTCACAGCATTGTCCGCAGCCTCCTCGGCCCACAGACGAGACGGGAGACCATGACAACACCTAGCCACGCAGGGTTCGGGGCTGAGTCTCACGCCAGACCCCCACCCCGAATGGAAGCAGGCTGGGGGCGGGGCCGCGGAGGCGAGAAAGAGGATGCGCGCCCCGCAGAGCTCCCGCAGAGGTGAGAACGTGGGAGTCCGGAGGAGGCCACACCCAGAGGTGAGAGCGCGGGGCGGGGAGGGGGGAGAGAGGCGTGGCTACAGCCTGGGCGAAAACGAGGCGGGGGGCGTGGCCGAGTGCTAAGTGATGGGGTGGGAGTGGCGGTCTCGAAGAGCCACACCCAGAGGTGAGCGCGCAGGGGGCGTGGCTACTAAGAGGCTGAGGGAGGGGCTGGAGCCCGGGGGCGTGGCCTCCCCAGGGGGCGAGGCTCGGGCCGTTCGGGGTGCGCCAGGCGTTCCCACGGGCGGCGCGCGCAGCCACCAAGCGCCGCGCGAGGCCACGCCGGGGTTAGGCCGGCGCCACCTGGGCGCGGCTGCGGGCGCACAGGTGCCCGCGCGCGTCAGGCGCCGGCCCCAGGGGCGGGGAGAAGGGCGCGGCCGGAAGCGCGGGGCGGGCGCCTCGGCCCGGTGAGCTGCGGGGCCCGTCAGGCAGGAAGAAGGAGCACGCCCGGGGCTGCGCGGCGAACGATGTCGAGCCGCCGCCTCGGCCCCTGCAGCAGCAGCAGCAGCAGCCGCCGCCGCCGCCGCTGCTGCCGCCGAGCCGGGGGACATGGAGCGCGGCTGCAGGGAGCGGCCGACGGCAGCAGCAGCAGCAGCAGCAGCAGCAGCCAGCGTCGCAGCAGCAGCGGAGCGCAGCCCTCCCCGTGAGGCGCTGGCCGGCCGGCGGCGGCGGCGACAGCGGCAGCAGCGACAGGGCGGCTGAAACTCCCGGCCGCGCGGCGACCCTCAGCGCGGCCTCCCCTCCCCCTCGGCGCCCCCCCCCCCCCACTCTCCCGTTTCCTCGGCCGCTCCTGCCCACCCCCTCGTCCCCGTCCCCGTC